AGGCTTCAGGTTCTCTCTTTTGATTTTATATTGGAGTGGCCTGATTGCTTTTGTCTTCAGGAGTTCCCACAGAGGCCCAAGTCAGATAAGGCTCAGATGCTCTCAGGCTTTCTCCTAAGGTCTGGATCCCCCCAGGAAAGATGTTGTCCTCAGGAATTTGGGGGTTGGACTGGCCTGGGAGCAGGGCCCAGGAAAATTCTGGTCTTGGGCAGCTGGTGGCCATGCCACCCAGGAAAGTAGAGGGAGGCGAGGGTGGGACCAGTCCCAGAGGGCTCCTGGTTTGGTCTGGATGAAAAGAATCAGGAAGCAGTGGTGGTTCTGGGCCGAGAGGTCAGCCACAGTGTCTGGGGTGCCAAGAGAAGAAATGGGCCAGTACACAGGCTAGGAGGAGAGATGGGGCAGGGGAGCTGGGAGAGTGAATGAGGCTGGGGGAGTCAAGGCGCATTGTGCACCACTGGACTTCCCCAGGAGAGAGGCTGGCGGGTTGTGCAGCCTAGGGAAGCAGAGGGAGATGAGCTGGTTTCTTTTATTATTGTGACAAAACATCTGGCAAAAGCATCTTAAGAAAGAGTTGAGGGGCTGGAGAGATGGCTTAGTGGTTAAGAGCACTGGCTGCTCTTGCACAGGACCCAGGTTCGATTCCCAGCACTTAACTCCAGTTCCAGAGATTCCGATGCTCTCCTCTGACATTTGTGTGCATAGTATGATATGGATGCACTTGCATACATGCAGGCAATACATTCATAAGCATAAAATAAAAATAATAAATAAAATATTAAAAAAAAGAGTTGGTCGTGGCTCCTGTGGCTCCTAATTTGAGGGTGCAGTCCCTCACATGAGGAAGCATGTTTCAGGAGCAGAGGAGCTGGTCACATTGCATCCTTGATCAGGAAGCATTTCTACTCAGTCCAGGACCCCAGTACACGTGCCATCCATATTCAGTGTGATCTTCTCTTCTTGGATGAACCTTTCTGGAGACACCCACTGGATCATACTTACGTGTGTTTCCATGGTGATTCTAAATCCAGCCACACTGATGATGAAGATTAAACATAGCCATATAGTCATTTGATCGATCACTGGTCCTCATCAGGAGAGTGACCAGCAGGGAGCCCCATGTGCCTGTAGAAAGAAAATCCAGATTGGCTGAGACTGCCCCCCCAAAAACACAGCAAATGTTAGATAGTAGGTTTTTATTTTTCAAATAACATCAAGATTTTTAAAGCATACTTTGAATAACTTACTTGTAACATGTTTCAATATTTCTGAGTTTAAAAATATTTCTCAAAAAAAGTACTCTTCAGTTGGATATGGTGGCACACGTCTTTAATCCCAGTACTTGAGAGACAGAGGCAGGCGAATCTCTGTGAGATTGAGGTCAGCCTGGTCTACATAGCAAGTTTCAGGCCAGCTGGGGCTACAGGGAGATTCTGTCTCAACCCCCCGACCCCAAAACAAAAAAACAAAGCAAAACAAAAAAAAATGCCAAACAAACAAGCAGAAATATTCTCATACAAATTTCTATTCTCCAAAGACCATTATGTGTCCAGGCTTTGGAAGTAGCTAGGTGAAGGAAGCCAACAAGTGCCAAGACCATGGACACATTTACTGTGGACAGAGGAGGTCTGACACTGTCCACCATGTGCATAGAGGGAGCATGGGTATTTAAGGAGTTATATTCACATACCAGACAACTGCATATTAACAGAGACTTGGATAGAGAAGGGTTCATGCTCTTCCCTACAGCCATGTCCTCAGATGGGCACATTGTAGGTAACTCCTCTAGCTGATGTTAGAGGTTAGTGTCACATGTATCTGTCCACAAGTATCTGCTTCATCCTTATGTGATGCCCCTTGTCATTGGCCCTGCAGGTTCAGATCAAAGGTAGTGTGGTATATAGCAACTACTGTGTTGCTGTGGAGGTGCGACCCAGGGCACCTGTCAGTGTGATCTCCGAGGGCACACACATCTTCATCCCCAGGGCCACCTCGATGCCCATCATCCTCAGAGGATCCCAGTCCTATGATCCTGACAACCCTGGAGCTGCTCTCAGGTGAGGACACAGAGCTGTGAGGCTCTCACATTCTGGCTTCTCCAAACTCTGGCTCAGGAATGTCAGGAGTTAGTTTGGGAATTCTACCAAAATAGTTTTGAAACATTTAAGCATACCAGCTTTCTTAAGGTAAACTGTTTTATTCATTATCCAAATACAAGGTAATGTAGGAAAGGGAGAATAAAATGTGAGGAGCTTTGTAAGGTGATGCTTAAAATGTGATTTTGGAATGTGTGGTGTGAATGCTGCCCTTTCATTAAGATTCTGGTTTCCCAGACGCCTTGGTATTTGGGAGGCAAGAGCGCTGCTCAGCTCTGTGGTGTAGCTCTTGCTGTTATAGATTCTGGCCACAGCAGCAGCAGCCCCACCTGGGGGCCCCCAGTCTCCTGATATGATCCTTTACCCTCCAGCACGCATCCTCCACTCATCCATCCCTCCCCATAGCCTCAGACTCATGTCTTCCACCAGAGTGCTCTGGTCTATGCACAAGCCCCCTTTGTATTCCTTTCTTGTGCCTCAAATCACCTCAGCTGCAAATCCCACTGGCCTTCCCTGTGTCCCTCCAGGAAGCTCTTCTTCCAGTCACTGAGATGGAAACTTTCAGTGCATCTTTGACATCACTTTCTCACACTTATGTCCCCTCTGTTAGGAAATCCTGGTGGGTGGGTCTTTCCAAACACCAGCTCCACACACCTCCTTTGCTTTGAGAGGAAAGTTACCAGGGCCTTGGCTTCTGTCCATTACCTGCAGTTGATTCTCTAAGACAGAAGATGAAGCCTTCTAGAAAACTCCAGAAGCCTTTTCTTTGACACTTTGACCTCTTATACTCCCTTTTGGCTCTGAGTGGAAGCCAATATCCTAGCTGTCTTGGCCAGTCCTGTCTTTCTTTAGTTCTCATTTCCATGCCTGCTGTTTACTGTCCTTCCTCATTGAGTGTGTAGTTCAGCACAGCAGAACTCTCACTGGTCTCATCCCTGAGCCAGATACATTTATAAGTAAGTCAAGAGGTTCCTTTGTTGTCTTAACCCCTGTGATTCAGTGTTTGCTGCACCCAGGTGTGGGATGCAATGTTGCTTTGCCGGGGGTTCGAACCAGCGACCCCCACGCAGTGATAATTGGGGATGAGTAAGCACGCTGTTCGCCAGCCCATGCTGTCCCCAATACCGGGAACACTCAGGCGCAACGGGGAGCCTAGTCAAGCAGGGACTCATTTATTGTAGGTGTTACAGAGCTTATAAAGGCACCTGGAAATCCCCCCTCCCCCCCGAGGGTGTATCTTAGGATGGTCAAGCGCTGATCATGCACTCCTCAGCAGTGCAGACGTATTCTTCAGACTTTCAAAGCAAGTCAGGCCGCGCCCCCAGTAACTGTCTCTTGGACTTCTGCAAGGTGGGGCCTTTAGGTCCCCACATTGCTTGAGTGCAGTGTTGGGGAGAGGCTTCCCCCAGAATCCACCTGTTTACCTGCTGTAGGCACAGCTCCCAGCTGGCGGTGCTTCTTCTTCTCCCCCCAGTCCTGACAGACCGAGGCTGTGTCTCCTTCGATGCTGCATCCACACTGTCAGCACCTATCATGGTGCCCCAGAAGAGCTCAGTGTTTTCCACTGAAAAGTCCTGAATGTGCTCTTGGGGAATAAGGAATCTTCCAGGGGATTCACGGGATAGTTGCTCCGCACACCTTGTGACCTGCACTAGGCACTGAGTTCTGCTGAACCCAGAGGATGTTTCTGCCCAGTGGAGATTAACAGACTGCTGCAACGTCACCTCATGCAGCTCTGGGAACAGAAGTGATGAGAATGTGGTACCTGCAAGCCAGCTAGGGAAATGGGTTCAGCAGCAGTTCAGAGTAAGTGGCACCTAAGGAAACAGGTTGCCCACGTGGGACTGGCACAGCTAGCTAGGAGATTTCTGTGCCATTTCCTGCCTGCCACATGCCTGTTTAAGTGTGTCTCCCCATCTGGAGTAAGACCCGCTAAGGCTGGGAGATGCTGCCTTTCCACTTGACCCTGATGGACCAATTGTTTGTCTTACTGCCTTTGGCAACCATCATTTTACAGAAAGATGAAGGAGAATCTCTAGAGCTTCCTGCTGGCCCCACTGTTTATCAGCTCTGTGAAACATGGCAGCTTCCCCATGTGTTTCTTCCTAAATTCCCACTGGTGTAACATTGCTGTCTGTCAATGGAACTGTCACAATGATGAGATGCAGCATTGGCAGAGTGACTAGGGGAGCATGGCTGTGTTACTTGTGTGCAGATGGGGCTGCCATGCACAGGGAGTGACAGGAGATATAGAAGGGGTGGAAGGGAGCCAGGCTGACATGTGCCAGCCAGCAGGAAGCAAGACCCTACGTCAAGTGCAGTGGGCCTTGTGCCAGTTAGTGAGCGGGGGAGGACAGCCCAGCTTCCAGCTCTCCCTGTATTACTAACATCAACAGAGTGAGGGGTATCATCTCTTCTCACCCACATGCCCCCTTAGCACATAGCAATGCTGACTATGCCCCTCCAATGGCCTCTCCAACAGGTATTACTGGACTTGCACTGCCAGCAGCTTGCCAGGGTGGCCCTGCTTTGATGATTCCACTCCACACCAAGTGGACACCAGGGCTCCTGCAATTTCCTTCCCTGCAAAATGTCTCAGTGAATGCTGTGACCAGTTCATTGTGACACTGACAGTCTCCAGCAATGGCCAAAACTCTTCTCAAGCCCAGGTGTTCCTGTCCACCCGTCCTGACCCTGCCTTCAGGTACCCCTGCCCTGGTCCTGTGGAGCTGAGCCCTCTGGCTGGTGATAGTCTGAAAGGAGTCTGTGTTTGTGGAGACAAGTGTGGAGTTAGACAACATGGGTGCCCCATTGCTAAGGAGGAAGAAGGTAGGGACCAGGGAGGGGCTGGTGACTTGTCCAGGTCTGCCGTCTCCCAGTCTAATGCTGACACAGCAGGCACTCTGAATGAGGAAGTGAGGGATCCCTCCTGCTACAGCACCTATCCCCAAGATGGAAGAACATTCCAGTGCTTGGAACTCTTAGAAGGAGGCAAAGCCATGTGAGACCCAAGCCAGGCTCTGAGAGACTTCTAGGGATTGCAGCACTAGAGGGACACAAGCCCGAGTCCAGTTGTGACATCTGAGACCACTAGGGGTGGCAGAGGCAAAGAAATGCTGTGACCCAAACCACAAGCCCCTCAGCACCAAGGCCACCACAGTAGCCACATGGACATCCCTAGGTACCAAATGCAGGTACCAGGACCCAAGCTGAGCAGCCTGGATGGGCAAAGGTGCAGCAGCTGGGTTCCCCTCCAAATGGATGGGCTATTAGGTGACTGAGCATGCACTGGAGCCCAGGAGAGCCCACTTTGGGCTCCAGGAAGATTTTGTACACTCCTCAGAATGGCTTAAGTGAAAACTTACAAACAATTTATTGTGGAATTTTCCATTTAGTATTCCAGACCTTGGTTGACTGCTGGCAACTGAAACTACAGACAAGGGCTGTTCATACATATACACACACAAACGGACAGGTGCACAAACATATGGTGTTTTGCGTGGCTCCTGAGGAAGCAGCAGACTCCTCCTGCCATGATCCTCCTGCCATGGTCCTCCTGCTATGATCCTCCTGCCACTTACACTTTTACACAGTGAAAGGCACAGGAAACACTGTATACATTTAGAAAGTCGCCCCTATACTGGGTCTCTTTTATTTGTTTGTTTGTTTACATTTTATGTGTATGAGTGTTTTACCTGCATGTATGCAAGTGCACCAGTGTCATGCAATGCTCACAGAAGCCAGAAGAGGGCATTGGATCCCCTGGAACTGGAGTTTTGAGAGGTTGTTAGCCTCTGTGTGGGTGCTGGGAACCAAACCTAGGTCCTCTGAAAGAACAACCAGTGCTCTTAACCTCTGAGCCATGTCTCCAGCCCCATGTACTGGGTCTGGTAAGTGGTTCCCAAGTCATTCAGGAAAGGAATCCATATGATGAGCCCAACATAGTTTCTCACACCACCTGGTGGCATCTTGAGGAACTAGGGTTCATGAAATGCTCTTTGGTAAGCACAGCTGGGTCAGCAAAGGAGCCTAGAGAAATGACCAAGAGATGGCTGTGGTGACTCGGGACTGTGTGTGTGGGATGTAGGATTGTACAGGGTACTGGGCCGTGGGATTATAGGGTATGGAGCAACTCATGAGCCAATAGTCCTACCCACGTAAGACACAAAGCTGAGGTAGACACCAGCGGCAAAGGTAGATGGCTCGAAGAACCCAGATAAAAGTGGTTCATAGCTGTGGAGACAAGTCTGGGGTGAGGAAGTAAGGGGTTAGTGCAGGTGCTAAGTTACTACGTGTATGGAGAACATGGCCACAGGGTTCAGTGATGAGGCAAGGAGAGCCCAGGACTATTGGTCCTGGAAGATGTTTCACAGCTTCCCTGAGCTTGGTGAGGTGCGAATGTGCTTGCCTGGTGTATTAGGTCAGATCATGCAGTATGGAAGCTGGTCACATGGTCCTGTGCTCCCTCACACAGGCTGTGATGTTGCCTTCAGTTCTCACAATGCAGAGTCAACATGGATTGTTCAAAGAGGCCGAGCCCAAATGAATACAACCAAAGAACCCTCATGTTGTTTTCCTACAACATCAAAGTGATTTGCCTGTTACAGATTTGTTCACATCTCCTGGGTCAACTTTAAAGACATCGGCATCAACTGGAATGAAGAACTTTCTCTCCAAGCCTTGTGTGAAGACTGTGGAGATGCACGGGATCTCTCTTATTCCTGGGATCTCTTCCTAGTCAATGCCACAGAAAAGAGTGGGATGCAAGGTATAATGTGTGCTCCATTTTGCTGATGGAGGAAAAGGCTCAGGGTTCTGTGGTTCCTGAACCATGATGCCTGACTGCAGAATGGACAAGGCACCCCAAATGGTTGCTCATGTTGTAAGGAGATTGTAAGGAGATTCACTTGGGCAATTTTATTAGTTTGAAAAGCCACAGGAAGCCGATGGAAAGGCTCTATGATGCAGCTCACTGTCCAGAGGACTGTGGCCCTATAAAACTGTGAAGTATATATTATGTTTCAAGTCCCCATTTTCCTGGCAGACAATTCCTAAAAATCCTTGGAATCTTCCAAGTGATCATGCTTTTATATGCTGATGAGCTGACAGGTAGCTAGCAGTCCCTATCTCCCCAATGAGGCTTGGCCAGCCCAACGACCAGAGCCAAATGATTTAATGAGTTATATCTGTGCAACCAAGCCTTCCATGAAGTCAAAAAGGACAAGGATCATTGAAGAAAGGGAGTTTCCTAGAGCGTGGAGTCCTGGAAATGGCATGACAACTCCTGGTTTCTACCCACATACCTCACCTGTGCAAACCTCCATCTCTGTCCTCCATAATGTCCTTTACAGTGAGCCAGTGAATTTGTTTCTATGAATTCTGTGAGCTGTTCTAGGAGGAGATGATGGGAACCCCTTTTTAGAGTCAATTGGTTAGTGAAGTGAAACCGCTGGGCATTTGAAGTTGGGATAATCCTGTATGATCTGTGAGAGCTAATGCTATACCCAGGTAGACAGTATGAGGACTGAAGTAGAAATACCAACTGGTGTTGCTGCTCAATAGCTTGCTTACTGGTAGGGAGAAATTCCCACACCCTTAGGCATCACAGAAACTGTCTGTGTAATAAGAATAGATCAGGGGAGTCTGAGCTGATCTCTCCTGCCCAGTCACCCCTGTCTTTCTGGGACAAGTGCTCAGGAGAGCCTGATTCTACGCTCTCACTCTGTACTACTAACTGGAGATATCAAGGTCCTCTCAAAGATTCCATTTTCTTGGATGAAAGATGGTGATCCAATCTGGCAATCCAAAAAGAGCCTATGCATCTTCTTTAAAGTAGTGTTATGTTGCTTCTCCCAGTAAGACACGAACAATTGTCCACTCACACCACATAGGGCACCAAAACAAAGATGATTGCTCCAGTCAGAAGCAGGGATGTGAGATTACTCACAGGAGTATGGGTGGTTCAAAAACAGCTGCATCACCAAAAAGCCCACCCAAGCATGGGTGAATGAGGTACACTGAGCATGCGAACAGAGCAGTTGTTAAAGACCAAATGAGGATGGCCAACAGGGAAGAAACAGAATTGTAGTTGCTCAGAATAAGAGCTCCTGAAATGGCATCAGAGGGGTTCTTGGTTTTTATGAGAATGCATGGGGGAGGAGGGCGGAGAGTATTGAACTGAAAACTATTACAATTGTATTGATCAGTAATGATAACACAGGATCTGGATCTGTGGTTGGTTATTGATGGGAGGTGCTCTGGGTAGGAAGCGGTTTCACCAGATGTGTGTGTTATCTCCTCAGTGTTAGGGTGTCTGAAGAAACCCTCCAGGCTCATCAGAATAATCTCTGTGCTCTCATGCCTCATGTTTGCCTGGGCTGACGAATACCATACCTTCATTCATCCTTCCTCATACTGCCCCACAGAGTGGACACTGAGGTGTAAATCAGGTTAAGATTGAGTTCCCACATGATAGCGACATGCTCAGAGAGACAGCTCGGGGGCACATAGAAGAGCTGTGTTCTGTGCTGGGCAGCCGGCACTGCTCAGCCTCCCCTGGCTGCCTCCCGTATTTTCTTCAGTCAATTCAAAAGGGCTTTCGAATAGTACAAAGCAGAGCTCGAAGGACAGCTGACCCACATGAAGACACCCAGTACGACTGCACCTGAGCTGCAGGAGAAGCATCCCGAATACATTAGGCAAATCAGATTTTCCTGATTCAAAGCCCATGCCTGGGTGGGGATCCTGCACTGGGGCACAGCCGCTGTGTAAGCTTCAGCAAAGTAGTGATTTCCCAAGATGGACGTGTCTCCAAGAACCTGGAGCCGTCCTGGCCAAATGCACTTTCTTGAGTGGCGGGTGTCATTTATATGTCTGTGGATTTTCCCCCCTGTTATTTCTCTGTTGTCATAATTTCTGAGATACTTTTTAGAATTGTTACACCAGATCCTCACTGTTGGGAATGGGAGTGGCAGGAGAAAATCCATACGCTCCAAATTATTTCCAGAATACATTCATGCAAGGGGTTCATAGGACCTGAGAGGGTAACCCTTGGTTCTCTATGGAGCCTGGGCCAAATCCGGGGAAGGGGCTATGAATTCCTTTTCCCACTCGCACACATTTACATCGTGTATCGATTTCCCACTGCTAGGTTGGGACCACACTCCAGAATCTTGATCTCTTGTGCATTGAGTTTCCAACTCTTGTCATATTTGTTTAAAGTAGTGTTGTGTGACTTTTCCTGGGAAGATGTGAACAAATGCCCATTCAGCCCAAATAGGGCACTAAGATATACCAAACATGATTTTACCCAAATCAGGAGCATGGATGAGAGTTACTCACAGGAGTGTGGGTGACTCAAAACAGCTGCATCACCAAAAAGACCATCCCAGGAGGGATGATGACTCATAAAACAGCCTCCCTTGGGTCCCACTCTCACCTTACTTCCCACCTCCTGTACACTGTAACAGTCCCCACCGCCCATGCAGCTAACAGGAGGAAATGAACCTCTGGAGTCTCAGGTGAGGGTCCTGGGCCCCTCTCCACCTTCTACTAGTCTTAACAGCCGTGACCTAGCTAGTGCTGTTCTGCTTCCTGTGTTACCATGACTACATAGATCACCACAGTGACCCCTGCCCATGATGGCTGATGATAGTCATGCTATGCCTGAGGAAATACCTTTTTATTTTATTTTATCTTATTTTATTGATTTATGTCTATTTTATGTGTATGAGTGTTTTGCCCGCATTTATGTAAGTTCACCATATGCATGCTATGCCTGCAGAGGTCAGAAAAGAGTGTTGTATCTCCTGGAACTGCACAGTTATAAGCTGTTTTGTAAGTGTTGAGAACTGAACCTGAGTCCTCTGCAAGGGCAGTCACTACTCTTAACTTCTGGGTCATTTCTTCAGCCCCTCAGAGGAAATAGCACCACAGTCAACATGCTTATTTAACCTGTATATTTATTATTTATTTTTAATTTTATTTATTATCATTGTTGTGAGTGAGTGTATGTGTGTACATGATATATGTGGGGGGTGTGCCTCAATGCACATGTGGAGGTTAGTGGACAACGTTGTGGGGTTGGTTTTCTCCTTTCACCTTCACAAAGCTTCCAGGGATCAAACTTGGGTCACCAAACTTGTGTAGCAAATGTCTTTACCTGCTGAGCCATCTTTCTGGCCTCATGGGGCACATATTTTTTTTAAACTATATACACATCTTTATTTGCATATCATACATGTCTTCCATTTCTAACATTGTTAGTATTGTCAGTGTGAACATCTATAACCTTTAAAATTTTTATTGAGAATTTCACACATGCATATAAGAAAAACAAATGTTTTGTATTTTTGGTCCAGATTTTAACCCTGTTGCACTTGTATTTAATTTAAGTCCCTTTCTGTAGCACCGTGGGGTTACTGGGAACCTCAGCACTTGGGGCCATTCTGAAGTTCTCAGAGCCAAACCTGCAGGAGGATCCCAGTGGGTCACTGGCACCGCACTCACTGGAGCCTTTGCGCATGACTCTGGACTGGCCTGCCCCTTCCATCCTGGGACGCACCTCCACAGACTCCACAGCAGCCAGCCACGAAACTCCTGCTCCTGGTCTTATGGCAGGCCCAGACGAGCCTTCTGGGGATGGTTCACTGAGCCCAGAGCCAGGGTCCCTGGGTGAGGAAGTGCTAACAGTGAACACCCCTGAAGGAAGCTGGCCTTTTCCCAGCTCTTCCCCTGCCTTTGATGGTAAGTGCTACCACCTTTACACATCCAGGTACCAGGATCACCTGGGAAGACGTAGATAGGGTAGATCAGGTTTGAAATCACACCCACGGGCTGGAGAGATGGCTCAGCATTTAAGAACACTGACTGTTCTTGCAGAAGACCCGGGTTCGAATCCCAGCACCTACATGGCAGCTAACAAATGTCCATAACTCCAGTTCCAAGGAATCTGACAACCTCTTCTGTCTTCTGCAGGCATTACACGACACGGATACACTTTCCTACATGCAAGCAATACATGCATACACATATAATAAAAATAATAAATAAAATATTTAAAAAAAAGAAATCATGCCCACCTTTTGCCTTGACTCAGAGTGCTGGGTTCACTCAATGCAAAGCACAGCTTTCACCTCAAGGGAATGAAATAGTATTTTGTTTTTATTGTTTTGAGGCAGGTTCTCATGTAGCCAAGACTGGCCTCCGATTTCCAGTGTAGTTAAGGCTGCCCTCAAATTCCTGATCATCCTCCTCCATTGTCCAGGTGCTGGTAATCCAGGCGTGTGTCACCACGGTCAGCTTAGATATAGTTTCCAAACATGAATGACAGTGGCCCAGGGACACACATACAGACTGCTCTTAATAATGAGTTCCACCATGGAAGGGGTTACATGAAGTTTTATTAGTCATAGACTAAAAAAAGTTACAAAGCAAGGCATTTGCCAAATACATTGGTGGGGACCACAGGTAGATGACTTTACAGTAAAGTGGGGGAGGGGCACTCCTATAGGTTTTAGACTGACTGATGACATTTTTAGGTTGTAGATTGGTAGCCAGTAGCGGTGTGCTGAGAATACACTATAAAGGCTTTACTTGATAGAAAGATGTTAGATCATATATGGGAGTGGACAATTAATGACCATTAAGGGAACTAAAAATAATTCAAGATAATTTGGCTCTGATCTGCAACATTCCAACTCTTGACAATCATGAAATCCTAAGCATTTAGCCATGCAGAATCTTTTTTTGATTTTCTTTTGGGGGAGGGCTTTAGTTTACAGAACTCAGTACTCCCTAATTTTGTCTTAAAATGAAATATTGTAATTTTGTCCTCTTGTATAGAGTTTGAAGCCTATTACAGTGACATCCAGGAGGCATTGCCATCCCGAGGAAGACAGCCAGGTGACTGCTTCTAGCATGCTCCCCCTGGGAGCCCTGTGTCACTGTACACTATCCCTCCTCCACTCTCCCTGTGACATCTGGATCCACCATCCTTGCCCCCTTACACCGAAGTCACCTAGAACTTGTGCAGAGAACTCTCAGAGGGAGAATATGAACCTTTCTTCACGGCACAGAGTGGCACAGACCTTGCTACTAGATTACTTACTGCTCTGCATCTAGAACCCAATGCTTCCAAACTCTCCAAAAGCCTCAAGCCCAACAGTGGGCAGTCCATGCCCCTGGTGCCTTGCACGGTGCCATCTGTGCAGCAGGCCTCCTTCGGGCCCTTCCCAGGTTGCCTCCATACTGAGCATTCTTCCTGCAGGTCCATTCTACTTCCCTACTTTGAAATCTGCTTCAGTGCTGTGATGACTCCCATTAACCCAGCATTTCTGCCCTTACCTGTTCTAAGCAGACAGTATCTGACCCAGTGATGTCTTTCTCTATCTGTCTCATATTCATCTGACATCTTCAAAGAAAGTTGCTATGTCTAGTTTATACTAGAGTCCAGAACTATCCCAATGTCTGGTGCATCAGCATCCAATAGAGTACAGTGTTCAAATGCATCAATAAGCTCAAGATGACCTGTCACATAAATAGATGATGAGTGAGTGACTTATGTATCAGAGGAATAGATGGATGAGGAGAGAGTGAACAGTGCCCCATCTAGTGAATATGGGTGAACAGAGAATGTTGCATTTACCAAATGAAGAGATGAGTGATTTATTTGTGGACCGAGAAGGGCTGGGGACAGCAGAAAACCAAGGCCCCACCCCCAGTGACCTTTTTCCAACTAGGTGCCACCTTCTATAGTTTTTAGAACCTCCCCAAATAGCACTACTAGTTGAGGACCAAACATTTAGCATATGGACCTCTGGGGAATATTTCCTATTCAAACCATAAAAAGCATAAAAATTTAAACTTTTAATACATATACAGATATGATGCCAGACCCATGTTTACATTCATGGTAGAAGCTTAAATTAACCAGTATCAAAGGAATGAAAAAGACAGATATGTCATTTTATCTTATTTATAGCAATACTCTGACAAGAGTAATTCTAATCGCTCAAGGTTTGTCACTTTCAGTATTGTGCTTTGTATCAGTATAGGCCTTTGTTTGAAGTTTTTAAAAGTTTTTTAAAAATTTTATTTGTTATTTTATGTGCATGATTGTATTGGCCTTCATGTATTTAAATGCACCTGTGTCTTGCAATGCCCTCGAAGGACAAAAGAGGGTATTGAATCCCACAGAACCGAGTTAGGACCAGTTAGCTACCATGTGGGTGCTGGGATTTGAACCCGAGTCCTCTGCAAGTGCAGCCAGTGCTCTTAACTGCTAGGCCATCTCTCCAGCCCTCGTTTGAGGTCTTAAGTCGGCCTTCTTACCCCAGCATCATCCGCTGTCACTCCTCTCCAGACAGTGCAGTGTTCTTCTGCCTCTACTTCTTCCTGCCGCCGGCAGCCATTTCTCTTCCCAACAGCCAGAGGCCTTTCTCAGCCACAAACCAGATGATCAGTTCCCTCTGACCAGCCCTGCTGGTGACTTCCAGTCACACACAAAACAAAGGCTCCAGGGGGGCAGCCCAGGCATATCTCGACTTCATTGCCCACCCTTTGGTCCCTATTTCCCTCCTGCAGCTACCCAGGGAGAGCTCCTTCCATGGCATTTGCTTTCTACTCACCCTGGAACTCTTCCTCCAGATCGTCACTGAGCCATGAAGCCCTTGCCCACCCTCTCTAACAGAGGTCCTCTTCCATTCCCCACACTCTTTCTCTTCGAATCTCTTGTGTTTTCTCCATCATTTATTATTGACTGACTTTGCATTACTTTTTCTGACCTTCTCACTATAACATTCCAGATCACAAAAATTCTTTTGATCTGGTTCACACTGTCTCTGATCTATAGACCTGGATGCCATAGCAGATATTTGTGGAAGGAGGGAAGGAGAAAGAAGCTATTGGATCACTAAACTTTAAGACAATAAAGCATACCTCTTGAATATGTGTACTTGCTAAAACATCATTTTATATGTGCAGGATCCAGAAACTGTAGAAATTAGTACTAGCATCAACGTTGAATCACCATGCTTTAGGAAGATCATAACCTTTCCTTTTTTCTCCCGTGCCATTGATTTATCTTCTTAGGGAACAGTACCAACCTCCTGGGATCAGGACCAAGCATGAATGCTGAGGCGAGACCCAGCGATGGGGACAATCTGTTGGACCCCTTCCTCCACACAGGCAGAGCAGAGCCAGCTCTCATGATTGACTGGCCCAAGACCCTGGTCAGTTCAGCTGTCTTTTATGGCTATACCTCATCAGGTATGAACCTGTTCTTTGCACCCTGCAATTCATAGCCTTTTGGATTTCTTACGAGTCTTAAAACCAAAGACTATTAAGATTAATATTAATAGTCTTTATTAAGACATTAATATTATTAATATTACTATTACTAATATTAAGACTAAGACTAACAGATCTACTAAGATCCGTTTTTGGAGACATCTACCTTTTCTGGGTGTTTGTCCCTCTGCAGACAGCAGCCTATGGCTCCTTCCCTAAGGATGGATCTAGCTTTTGCTATCCTCTGGGAATCCCAGTTTGCAGATCAGCGGGGAACTGCACGTTTGTGTGGCACCCAAACACCTAGGCATCCACCTGTCTCTGTGATCTTCTATAGAGTAGATGAGCCATTTACACGAATGGATCAAATGAAGCTGGCCCCGTGGGGCAGCTGAATCTAACCGGTCTTCCCTGGCACAGGCATATTGGTTTGTCTACTCTGATAGGTCTCTGATTTTCCAAGTACTACATGTGAATAGGTCACTCCCCATAATCTTCTTGGGGAAGTTATGAATTTCACACAGTTTTTATTGGTTTCTTCCTTTCCCTTGGGTCTCTCCTGATTTTAGGGTTAGCTGTACGGGGTCAGCATATCCTTGCTTAGGCAGTAACTCAGTTACCAGGGCAAAAGTCAAGAAATTTTCATAATCAATATTTTTCAAGGACTTAAATACCTTAGTCATATTTTATATATAAATTCGTAAAATAGAAAAATGAAATGCTGAGCCTACTGTAAACATATAAAATGAGATCTCGCCAGCATTCTCTTGTTGTTCAGGAAATCTGCATCATTTCTGAGCCGAGGATGACTAGTCCATCCTCAGCACTGCTTTTGTAGGGTAGGGGTGGTCTGGAGATGGGAACTGGGGTCTTCAGAGAAAGTTGATAACCAACAGTCTGGTGGTGTTCCCAACTGTGAACAGAACATGTGACCAAGGCACCATTTGCCTGCACCCTTGGAGCACAGGTGGGACCTGCTGCGACTCTGCTATTCTCTGCCACTCAGAGCTCACTGATTGGCACTTCTCTGTGGCTGCTTTCTCTTCTGTAGGTATCATGGGACCAGTTGTGACAATAAAGCCGTACTCACTGAGCAGTGGTGAGACATACGTTCTACAAGCTTCTGTAGGTATGTCAGGCTGTAGACTGGAGCTGGTGTGGGGAACTGTGAAAGTTTTTCATCACAGTCACACTTAGAAACTAAGCCATGGGTCCCTGCTTCTGCCCTGTTGCAGTGAACACCCTTACCCTTGGTTGCTCTCTTTTTCTGGCCTCTGGAATTTACCCAAGGGACAAGCTAAAGGCTTTCACTTAGGCCATGTTCTTTCTTGGTACAGGAGATCCCTGAGAGCCTGCCTATGACTCCCAAGGTCCTGTTCAGTGTCCTCTGTCACCTGAGAGGGTGAGCCCAGGATGCAACTGTCCTGCTCAGAAGCCTATCACTCTGTCCCGCATACCTTCTCTGACAACCTCCATCTCTTCCCATTACACAGGCTACTATGTGACAGTCTTTCCCTGTGTTATTTTGGCCAAGAAGTCTTGTCCCCACGTCCCTTTCCTAACCTAGTATATCATTCCTACCCTAGGGCCCATAACTCAAATTGCATTTTCTGCAGGGGTTGGCTGATCAATAAGACAAAATTAGTCACTCTCTTCTCTTGGAGTTTACTTGTGTTGGATGGTCTATTATCCAAGGTTGATGTGTCTGTTAAATAAAAAGCAGAGAAGCAGAGTCCAGCCTGGCATAGGCCATATGCATGATCCTCATAGGCCTGATAAGGCCTGATAAGGGACTCTAAACGTGTGGCACAGAAAGTTCTAACCCGTAATTTGTCCCCACAAACATACTGATTAAAAAATTGATGCATGAGAATGACCGTTGTAGGCTGTTTAGTAAAGCAGAACGTAGACAACGCAGTGTTTAATCACTGAAGAATAGTAATTCTGCCTGCTGGGCTGTGTATGCTCGGAGGACTCATGGTGGCTGTTTACAGCCGACTCTGGACACTAGTTAAGGATGGGAAATACATATATTCATACAGTTCTCGAATGCCTGCTCTTCTCCACTGTAGTTCTCTGTCCTGGCTAAAATCCCCATCCTGTCTTTTTCTTAGCTTCAAAGCATGGTTTACTAGGCAAAGCTCAGCTCTACTTAATGGTCAACAAAGCTCCACAGGACATGGCCTGTCAGGTGCAGCCCCACCATGGTTTGGAGGCACACACCATCTTCAGTGTCTTCTGCATGTCTGGGAAACCGGTATGTGACAATTTTTTAAAAATTTTATTTTTTATTATATTTTTTAATTTTTAAAAATTTAGTAATCACATGATTAGAAGAAGCATTTCATTAAAGCTTTAACATATTCAGTAACACACTGCAGAGCAAGGATACTTCTCTTTCAAAAGTGGCTGTAAATTTTTAGGCTCACAGTTGAATTAATACAGTCATACAATATTGAACTCAGTATAAACCCTGTAAGACATTTAAAATTGAGTTTTTTGACCCTTTAAAGAAGATCTCTGTTTCATTTTAAAATATGGTGTTTCCTACATTTTTAATGCTACTAACACTTACATGTTTGCACATGTGTCTTTAATCTCTATATATCTGATTACAAGTAGTCACAGTCAGTTACGCTCGGATCCTTAGTACCTGAGCATGGATGTAAAGTCATCAGGTAGATTACACTGCTAATGTTTATCACCTCTACTATTTAACATGAAGTAAATTTTTTTAAATTTTTAATAACTACATGATTAGAAGAAGCATTTCGTTACAGGTTTAACATATTCGGTAACACAACATCCCACACAATCTTACTCATCTATATACCCACTTCCCAAATGGCACCCTCCCATAGCCTCCCCCCACACTGGAGCCCATATACTCTGTCATCCTGTCACTGTCCACTGTGTTGTTGGCACCCCCAGCCATTTCCTTATCTGTCCTGGAAGAGTACAGATGGCTGCAGCTCTTAGAAGTCACAGGAGTGCTGTGCGTGGTGGGTTGCATGAATGAAAGGCCCCGTCCCTACCTGGGAAGCGCTGGGCCTGCCTTGCAATGGGGGCAAGCTGCTCTTGCATGAATGAGGTCTTCCCCACTAGTAAGAGGGAGCAAAGCAGCCCCCTCTAAAGAAGGAGAGGGTCCTTACAGGATTTCACCTCAAGGTCAGAGCAGGGGGCTCTGTTATCTCTGAGCATACAGGTAGGGGGTAACTCAGCTTGAGGACCATGACCCCTAACCCCAAGGCATGTCTCTGACACCCAGTTTGGGCAATGCAGAAGCCTTGTTGGGTCCTGTGAGGATTAGAGGAGAATGCTGGTGTAGAGACCAAGGCTTCCTTTGAGGTCAGGTGTAGACATAGCAGTAAGCCGTACAGTCACCATCCTCTGGCTGTGCATACCTCCTGTTCCTGATCTTTTTTTCTGCTCACGTTCCTTCTCTGAATCCAGCCCACAAGTACAGAGGGTCCAAATCCAAGCTTTCTCTCAGGGCTCAGTTCCAGTGACATCAGCTCCCAGCACAGTGTGTCTCACCACCCCACCTGTCGCTCATAGATGTATCATGCCGAGCAGCAGAAAGATGAGATACAACAAGGCTACAGTTGCTGTGAAGGGCTGCAAGCCTCTGATTCACAACTGTTAAGGAGCCAGTTGACCTGAGTGGGGAAATCCTACTTTATGCAAGAAGTCTTTTGGGCAACAGGACGTATCTTCCCTCAGGGCAGGGAGGCCTCTCTCCTGTGATGTACATAGAAGATGACACAAAAACACAGATATGACTCCAGAATATGACCACAGTGACCACAAAGGCAAAGATGTGGTGTTTGTTGTGAGGCCACTCACAGTGTATTCACTGTCTTGTTTTTTGTTCCCATGGATCGGATCATAGGACTTTCATTATGAATTTCGTTACTGGATAGGAAATGCTTCCTCACATAGCCTGTATCGTGGACAAGATACCCACTATTACTTTTCATTGCCAGCTGGTGAGACCTCAGACAATTACAAAGGTAAGTCTCAGGGCCTCAGGGCTATGTCTACTTATCACTCCAAACATTGTCTACTAGTTTCCAAAACCACAAATTATTAAAACTCACTAAAAATTAAAATAATTTATTCACTTTGGTAAGTTGAGGTCAGTTACCTGCCTTTATATGAAGAAAGAACATTGGAAACATCATCAGCGAATTAAATTTTTTTTTATTTTGTGTGTATGAATCTTTTACCTGCATGTATGTAAGTGCATCCATGCATGCAATGCCCATCGAGGCCAGAAGAGGGTATCAGATATTCTGGAACTGGAATTAAGGATAGTTGTGAGCTGTCATGTAGGTGTTGGGAACCGAACTTGGGTCCTCTACAAGAGCTGCCAGTGCTCTTGACCACTGAGCCATTTCTCCACTCTCTGAGTTGAGGGTTGTTGTTTTGTTTTGTTTTGAGACAAGATCTCCCTGTAGCCCCAGCTGGCCTGGATCTCACTATGTAGACCAGGCTGACCTTGAACTCATAGAGATTTGCCTGCCTCTGCCTCCCAAGGGCTGGGATTAAAGGCATGTGCCACCTTGCCTGGCCTTGAATTGAGTTTTTTTGTATCTTTAATTTTAATTGAAATACAATCTAGATGATAAATGCCAAAGAATGTTCTTATACATTATTTAAATATATGAGAACAAGCTATCCCTATCCTACTAATAAAATATATCATGTCTGATGAATTTTTAATGTATTATAGATGAAACCAAATCAAGTCCTGCCCCCCAAATAAAATATGAAGAAAGATTATTGAGTTAACAAGTAGCATGTTAGTCAACTTCTCATTTCAAACGTGAGCTTTTAAAAAAAAAATTATGCTTTGTTTTTTTTGGTCTTTTTGAGACAGGGTCTCCCTGTAGCCCCAGCTGGCCTGGAACTCACTATGTAGACCAGGCTGGCCTTGAACTCACAGAGATCTGCCTGCCTCTGCCTCCTGAGTGCTGGGATTAAAAGCGTACACCATCATTCCTGGTTATTTGTGTTTTTTTATTTATGTGTATATGAGTCTACCAGCTTGTCTGTATGTACACTACTTGCATGAAGTTTCCAGGGAGGCCAGAAGAGGGCATTGGATCCCCTGGAACTAGACTTACAGGTGGTTGAGAGCCATCACCTGGGTCTTCTGAAAAAGCAGCAAGTACTCTTAGCTGCTGAGCCATCTCTCCAACCCTGAAATAAATCAGCTTTTTAGTTTCCTCTTGGTTTATTTTTTATTTTTTTGGTATTTTTGGTCTCCCTGTAGCCCCAGCTATGGAGACCAGTCAGGCCTCAAACTCACAGAGATCCGCCTGCCTCTGCCTCCAGAGTGCTAGAATTAAGGCGTGTGCCACCACACCCAGGTAGTTTCCTCTTGTAAAGAGGAAAGGTAATTTTAACTCAGAATTTTGGATGTTTCAAGTCCATAGTTGATTGAACCTGTTGCGCTGGGCCTACATTAAGCACACTATATCATGGTGGAGGTGTGTGGAGGAGACCTGTTTATTTAATGATTAGATGAAAAGGAGAAGAGTGGGAAAAAGAGAAGAGAGGAGTCAAGGTCTCTGATCCCTTTGTTAGAATGTTCCTCGGTGACCAGATGATCTCTCACTATGTTCTGCCTCTTAAAGGTTCTACTCACTCACAACAATGACAGGCTGAGAGCGAAACCTTCAACACATGGGTCTCTGGGAAACATCCCAGGTCCAAACTGTAGCAATCCAAAACCAACATGAAGCTGGTGGTGCCAGGTGCTTTCTATCTCAACCCCTGTCCCTGAGGCCCTGCCCACCTCTGAGCCAGCACACAAGGCTTGGCCTCACCTGAGCATGTGAGGAATGCAACAGTTTGACACAGTGTTGGGTTATGTACAACCCAGTCTGGTTAATGAGAGTCTCTGGGGATGGTTTTGGTTTTCTAACATGTAGGCAGGGTTGAAAATCACTAAACTAGGGGCTGGAGAGCTGGCTCATCAATTAAGAGCACTGACTGCTCTTTCAGAGGACCTGGGTTCGATTCCCAACATCCACATGGCAGCTAACAACTGTCTATAACTCCAGTTCCAGGGGAATCGGATATCCTCTTCTGACCTCCACAGGCTGTGCACAACACAAGGTACACTTACACATATCCAGATGATGCACTCATACACATAAAATAAAAAGAATAAATAAAATTTAAAAACACTAATCTAGAAGTATCTTTGATTTAGGCTGGTTAGGATTATTTCAGTCCAAAGTATAAAATAGTTTAGCTAAATGGTGTGCTTAGGCATCAACTCTCCTTTAAGCTCAATCAGAATACTTTCTTCCTAATTATCTGTCTGTCATCTCCAAATGGTAGCACTTTAATTTGATTCTAGGGTCAAGTCAATCTGAGCAAGCTTTTCCAAGTATGTTTTTTTGTGAGCTTTGTAATCATGTTCTGATTGACATAATGATTATTTTGTACTTGCATTTGAGATTGAGTTTTCTTCAAATCAGCAACCAGACTAACAGTTGATATTGCTGCATGAAGATAAAGATGGCTTTCATGAGTCTTTCATCCATAAATCCTTAAATACTAAAATTGCCTTCACCTGTCTTCTGGAATGTCTTCTCATTATGACTGCTCATTCGAAGCACAGCCACTTCTTGCTGGTAGAGATAAATCCAGAGGCCACTCTAAGAGCTGGGTTGAAATAGGATATGCCTTGGATAAGGAGGCCCAACTTCAGTAAGACTCTTCTTATGACATCACTTGTATCAGCACCTGGCATGCCCCTTACCTGGGAGCTGCATATAGGGACATGATAACCTCTGTCCACTAGGCATCCATGGACCACAAGGCTGGACAGATGCCCAAAATGAAGGCCTTGAGTCAGGGACTGTTGAAAGAAAGGATATCCTGAGCTAACTTTATAGAATCAAATCTTAGGTCCCAGGCCTGGAGCAATGTCAGTTATTGCTGCACAAATCCTTCACAAGTGTGATGTTTGCTGGTAACTGTCACTATTATTATACCTGGTCCCTGTGAATATCTGTGAGTTCAGAGACAGCCCGGTCTATATAAAAAAATAAACAAATTAAGTAAAATCTTACCTAAAATTTACCCCCTTTTCACATTCTTTCTCTTGATTCACAGAACTTTATCTACAGAGGAGGTGCTTATTAAAACTGGTACTTCCAGGGGTTCACATAGTAACTATTGACCCAGAATCTCGGGGAAAAGGCAGAACCCAGAATTTGAGCTTCCTAGTAATTGTGAGTCAGATGTCCAGGGCCCACATCCCAAGAAACACAGGCCACCAAATTAAGTTTCCAAACTTAATTTACTTCATTTAATTTACTTAATTTACTAGGTTCCAGGTTGAGACTATTACATAGACTCCCAGGGCACACTTGTGTGCTGGTCTTCCTGTGTGGTACACACGATGTGCCTGAAGCCAATGTCCAAACCTGAAGTTCTTCTGCAGGCCTTCTTATCACGCCTCTGGGACTTTATTATAGGAAGGGATTCCTAGATGCCTCAAATAACCATGTCTTGTGAGATACATATATTTTCATGCAAACCTCCCATCAGAATTCTTTACTTTTTCCTGTCAAATTTGCCTTCATCATTTAGGAACAATTTAAAATATGACACCAACCCCTAATGGTCCATTGCAGAGTCTAGATTACACTCTCTGGACACCCTATGGCCTTTTTGTCCTATCCTAGCACTCCCTATTGGTGAACCAGGAGATGTTGGGGGTCGGGGGTAGAGATGGTCTTGTTCATCATGCTGTTGGGAATGGATGACTTATCTCTCTGTCTTCTGCAGCACATCGTGGTGGGTTCTGCCTATCTGCCCTCTGTGAACCTTCCTATCTCCCTGTCTGTTGAGTACTCATTAACTTACTTTGGTGCTCAAATCTTAGGTTGAAGTATGAGATCTCCCAGAGGGGCAGAATACCCTCAAGGTCTTCTCTCGTGCCTTGCCTTTTGCTGTATTCCCTGTAAACAAGCCATTCCCATCCTAGTTCAGTTTTGCTTAACAGAAATTCTATTTACTGATTTGTTGATATCCTCACTGAAGGTAATGTATGAGGGAAAACAAACAGATTGCAGTTTCATCCCTGAGTTTTACCAGTCACTCCCCGCCCGTCACCTGCACCATTCAGCTGCTCCCAGTGTGTGAAGATGCATCTCTACAGTCATGTGACCAGGATGACCCTCCTCTGTCATTTTCCTTCACAGTCATCATTTCTACTGAGATCACAGATGGCCAAGGCTCTAAGGTGCAGCCATGCACTGCAGTAGTGACTGTGCTACCCCGTTACCATGGAAACGACTGCCCTGATGAGGACCTGTAAGTAACATGATACCACACAGACAGCAGAACTTGGATTTCCTCAAGAGATGATGAAGAGATATACTTTAAAAACAGTAATTGGTCTTTTCAAAGTGGGCATCCCACAACAAACCTGTTAACCTACTTGCATGGCATACACGTGCTTCAGAATCTGTAAAGTACTTTCTCCTTTTATTTTTAACCAGCTTTTTAGTCTTTTAAGATTTATTTGGTGTGTGCGTGTATGTGTGTGTGTGTGTGTGTGTACACATGCCACATGAGTGCTGGTGGCCGTGGAGGTCAGACAGGGTGTTGAAATAGGGTGTTGAATCCTGGGAGCTAGAGTTATAGGTGGTTGTGAGCCACCCTACATGGTGCTGGGAGCCAAATTTGAGTCATCTGGAAGAGCGGCAAGTACCCCAAGCACTGAGTCACCTCTGCAGCTCCTTAGTTTTATTGAGGTGTAAATTGCATATTGTATAGGTCATCTGCTAAAAGTGTGTGATTCTTTGGGTTTTCACACTTACTGAGCTGTGACCTTTGCTGTAGTCCCGTTTGGGAACATTTTGGTTTTCAAATGTACTAGAACCTCTGTACTAGTCAGCAGTTACTCTGCATCCTCAGACTTCTACTTCCAAGCCTCCAAAACAAAAATCCACTTTGTGTCTGAAGACTTGTCTGTTCTAGGAATTTCACGTCAATGGAGCTTGCAAAGCCTTTAGCAAGTTTCTTCATTTAGTGTCTGAATATTATTGATTTTTTTCCATGGTGTGGCATTTATCAGGATTTCATTCTTTTTTGTTGAATAATATTTATTGTGTGGACTTACCACACTTTATTTACTCATTCACTGATTGATCAACATGTGACATAACCTATATTTTGTCTACGGCAAGCCAAGCTATTACAGACATTTCTTTGTGTGCCTTTGTGTGGATGTGTGTTTTCATTTCTCAGGAGCAGATAACTAAGAGTAGAATCCCTGGGTGTATGACACTCTAGCTTAGCATCTCTCCAAAGTGGCTGTGCCTTTCAGTATTCCCATCAGCTGCTGTTTCCTCCATCCTAAGCCTCCCCGTCACTTGATCTGTTTTATATATCCATTCTCCCAGGTGTGAAGTAGTGTGCCACTCGGGTTTGACCTGCATTCCCCTACTGATTGCTGATGTGGAGCAGCTTTCCATGGGCTATGATTACCTCCCCTGGAGATATACTATTCACATACTTGACCTGTTTTTAATTTGGTTGATTATCTTTTTATGATTGAACTGAAGGAGTTCCTTATAAACACTATGTGCAAGGTCCTTTATAGGTTCTCTGGGTATGGGCTCTTTTCCCAGGGCTTATTTCCTTGTTGTTTGCTTGGTGTTTTGTCTGCATGTTTATTGATTTTAAGAAGACTCCGTCTGTGAAGTTTCCCCATGTTGCACGGTCTGTGCATCTTCTGCCCAGATTTGTTTCTGTTTTTATCCATAGCCCGGCTTCCTATGTTCTTTAGTTATTTATACATCAAATGTGTGCTAGAGTAAGCATGGTTTGGTGCCCATCCAGAATTTGTAGTTCATTGGGATTTGTTTTATCTTTAGAAATTAAGGCCCCATTATTCAGTCAAGTGGTATCTTTAGATCATATGGCAAAGGCATTTGTAGAGTGAGGGCTGGAAGCGGCCTTGACTTAGTGCACAGAACTCTTTCCAAGACATCCAGGTACAAATAAGTGAATCATGCCATTTAAAAATAAGTAAAATCCGCAATTATTGAAATCTGAAGTCAGATTTTATATCCAACCACAAATACGATGCATATTTTCATTCTATTTTGGGTCTGGGCACTGTGAATTTTTTATTTTTGTGATTGATTGATTGATTGATTGATTGACGATTGATTGATCTTTTTGAGACAGAGTCTCCCTGTAGATTCGCCTGCCCCTGCCTTCCGAGTGCTGGGATTAAAGGCATGAGACTGTGCCCTGCATCACTGTGAATTTTCAACTGTTGCATCCTTCACTACTTCGGCCGACTGAGCAGACTGTCTTCGGCTCAGGGCACAGTCCTTCCCTTGTCATGATGCTACTGAATTGGTATCAGTTTGCATCCTTCACTACTTTGGCCGACTGAGCAGACTGTCTTCGGCTCAGGGCACAGTCCTTCCCTTGTCATGATGCTACTGAATTGGTATCAGTTTGCATCCTTCACTACTTCGGCCGACTGAGCAGACTGTCTTCGGCTCAGGGCACAGTCCTTCCCTTGTCATGATGCTACTGAATTGGTATCAGTTTGCATCCTTCACTACTTCGGCCGACTGAGCAGACTGTCTTCGGCTCAGGGCACAGTCCTTCCCTTGTCATGATGCTACTGAATTGGTATCAGTTTGTGTCTTGTGTTTTTTCCAGTTCTAGTCAAAGGTGATTTTCCATGCAGGACTTTGGTATGTCTGCTTGTGTGTTTAGACCAACTCTCCCTTATGTCATTCTCCTTCTGTTCTGACCCACTGAAGAACAAATTCCATTCCACCCTTGGCAGAGTAAAAAGTTTCATTACAATGTCTTCAAATAACCACAGCAACTCTTGGGTTTCTTTCAGGTATCATTCCAGCTTGAGAAACCTGTCTACTCTCCAGCTGATGGGAAGTTACATGGAAATCAGGAACTACATAACCATGGTCACTGGAATTCTGAATCGTTTGGCCAAGGAGAGCAGAAACACCTCATGTGGCCTATGGTCACAAATACAGGATGCATTGATTTCGTCAGCATGCCAATTACCTTTTACAGATCAGGTATGGCCCAGAATAGGGCCAGGTCAGCATCTGTAACCCTGTGCCAAGTAGCAGGACCTCTAACAATTGGCTCCTCAGCAGGGGGTCATGATTGTAAAGCCCCAGCAAGAAAGGAGACCAGCTGTTCGGCAGCCTGGCTCCTATGAATGCTTCTGGTTTATGATGGAGAAAGTGATACAAGTCAATTATCATCACAGATAATTCTAGTGTTCTTGTAAGTGAAAACCGCAGAAGTCTGGTTTTTCTTCTGTTAACAACCGTAGGCAGAGTGATACAAGATTTTGAGCAATTTTAAAAGAATGATCATAGACTCAAAGGTTACTTCCTCACAACCTTTCTGCAAATCTGCCTTACTATGCCTTTTAATGGTCACTAGAAAACATTCACATCTACAAAGAACACATCTGCTCCATCTACAAGATGCTTCACTAAACTAACTGTTTTCTTTCCTCTGCCATTTTCCCCCGACCCCTTTCAAAGCTCCATTTAGTTCTGCCTCTTTATCTCACCCTCTTTGTGTCAGTTCCCCAATAGGGTCTGGTGAGGTTGGCCAGAGGCACAGCAGAGGAGACATGCTGGACTGAAAAGAAACTTTAAGACCAAGGTCATGGTCCTGCTAGGGAAAGACTAACCTCTAGGAAGTCTCTTAACAGAAAAACATGCCTGCTCTATTTCTTCAGAAGCAAGCTGCAGTTAAACTAATAAGGTAACTTTCTTCTCTCTTTTGATTCTGCTGCTTAGGAGGCAATGATGGATTCTATTTGGCTATTGAGAGACCTCATAAGCATCCAAAATAAGGTAAGTGCTAAATCTTTCCAAGTGTATTTTTCTTATTTTTGCATAATTATGAGAACTATGATCAGGTCTTGAAAAATTATACCGTCCAGAGTTATGTTTTGACACTGAGATTAGAGACACGACTTTCTGCTAAGTATTCATATGAATAGCATTATCTACCTCAAATCATAGCTAAAGAACTTCTTTTCTTCATACAGAAATAGCAGTAGGAAAAAGCAAAAACAAGTGTTCTCCATGGCTTGAATCACTTTGATGGTGAATTGTTCATTATTGGTGCATGGTTTTGGATGTTTGGATTTTTCTGTGGTCACATCTAGCTTCTCAAACTCCAACACTCTTCAGAACCCTTCAATAGATGTCTTTACTGTGCTGTTCTTCAAGAGATGGCAGAAGAACCCATGCGAGTCATTCACTGCCACCAATCAGAAAACCTAACTTCAGACATATCTTTCTTCATACCTTGTCACCGTAAAATAGGATTCCTCTCTCTCAACAAGCATCCTCTCTCGGTTTGTGCTCAGGAACCCATCCACTGCCACCCTGTAGCAGCTCATTCCAGCCTGTGTGACTGGTAGCCTTTGTGGCCTAGGTTAAATGGCTCCTGGTGGGGGTCCTGCCTCTGTCACATTGTTCTCCATGGCTTATCTCCTTAAGTTGACTGCACTCTGTAGCTTCTCCCATTTATCTCTCTTCTTGATGATCCTAGGCAGGCTAAGAATCTCACTCATTACTTTAAATATCTTTAGATATCTCTTCTAGCTGCCCTCATTCTAGGCATCTCTTTATAACAGAACATTGGGGAGGTGATGCCTGGACTTGCCTGCTGTCTCTCTCTTGCCTGCACCTTAGCTATTGTTGCATCGGGTTTGCATCATCCTTAATGCTGAAATTGCTCCTGTCAAAGTCCCTGAGGGTCTCCATGCTACCAATCCCAGAGGACACCTCTGCTCACCCAGGAGCAAAATTAAGTATTATGGATGATGCCCAGGCATCACTTCCTTAAACATGCATACAACAGAGAGAGAGAGAGAGAGAGAGAGAGAGACTACATGAATACACAAATAATGTACCTTCTAAGCTAGCTTAATTTTATTGTTTGTGGGAGAACTTTAATTTAAAACATGCTTCTAAGCCACATTTTGGTTAAATAAGCATGACTACCAGAAAATAAAACATTCTCTATTTCATCACATACTTATTTAGCAATTACTAGGAGCTGCTAAAAACCAAGAAGGAAATATTAATTTCCATCTTTTAGGCACTAATGAATGAAATTAAATGTGGAAAGAGATATCATTCTATAAATATGCTAAGCCCCATAATTAGGACAATGACAGTTCTATAGAAACACAGGCAATGATTCAGCTAACTTCAGTGTATGTTAGAAGATGGTTTTACAAGGCTTAGGATAGAGCTGTGACTGTGTTAGACATGGTAAAAGCATGCTGAGCACTATGAGTCCTTACCTATCAATGCGCATACTAAAGCATCCATGATTAAAAATGATATGTGATATTGATTTTGCATTGAATTCTAGAAATCTGAATAAGAAAATGCAAGAGCAAATGTTTCTTGGAGTGGGGAGGGGATCATGAGTTCCCACCCAGAGCTGAGGAGTTATAGACAGTTAATGACTTTGGGGGCAAGAAGAGTCAGTTTTCTGTAAGGGTATGGTCCCAGGTGTGTCCACCATGCCCCAGTGGATGGCCCCATGCCCATGAGTAAATGGACAGCACAAATTGTACCTAGTAGGTTATTTTAAAAAGAGGACACAAAGATGGGATGGGTGGGGAAATGCAGAGTGGATCTTGGAGTAAGGAGAGGAATAAGGAGTGAATATGATAAAAATGCATTGTATGGATGTATGAAATTCTCAAAGAAATTAATATATTTACATTTCTGAAGGTCTCGCCAGTGAAAGTTAACTGTTGAAGGTGGGCGATAGGTACATAGGCCACTATCCTACCGTCTCTGAAGATGTTTGGAAATGATGCATAGTGAAGATTTCAAAAGAGAAAGGCAGAAAGGGAGAATTTTGCTGGGCAAAGAGAAGGCCAAAGCATTTCAGGTAGAGGAGTCTTCATGACGTCAAGAAGTCTGTTATTGGAGGACAGTAAGAGTTCAGTATGGCCAGGGCACAGAACATACATGAGTGGTAAAGAAAGCTATAGAGGAAGGTAGGGGCCAATATATCAAAGCATTTGTGAAGTGGATTTTAAGAGTCAACCCATATAGCATCTTAAAGCACCTGGGCTATTTTTTTCATTGGTCATTTTATGGGTGGAGAATATGAACATCAGATGAACAAATTGTTGCTGGGAAAGTTGTCCAGTCATCATCTAACACCAAACATGGACTAGAGTCCACTCTTGACCCTGTGTTGAATCATTTCAACTCCTAATAAAAATAAAGAAGCAAGAGTCTGTGGATCAGTTCCAGGAAGCATTTTATCTCTGTTGCCTCTTTTCATGTAGTTGAGCTTTATGAGTGCGATGTGCATCTTCAAGTACATCCGGCTGTTCCTTGCTCAAGGCCAGCTCTCTGGAAGGTTTGTGGTCAACAGAAACCTCAGTCTTGAACTTGTCCTTCTCATCTCTGGAGTCTGGGAAGCCGCCAAACAAGGGAAAATGAGAAATGAGGACTATCTACAAGAAGAAGCAATGAAGCTCATCTCAGAGGCATTACTAGTAAGATGCTCAACACTTCATAAAATGCAGCCACAGGCCTGGGCTGCAACTCAGCAGCAGAATGTGTTTTTGGAAAGGCCCTCCATTCCACCTCTAGCACATACAACACACACACACACACACACACACACACACACACACATACACAGACATCACAACTGACAGTACCATAGCTGTTCCCCTATCTCACAGATCAACCCAGTTTTTGTTTTTATGGTTTTATTTTGTTTTGTTTTGTCTTTTTAAGGCAGAGTCTCCCTGTAGCCCCAGCTGGCCTGGAATTTGCTATATAGACCAAGAATGGCCTTGATCTCACAGAGATCCACCTGCCTCTGCCTCCTGAGGGCTGGGATTAAAGGCATGCACCACCATGTCTAGCTGTTAGCCTATGTTTATAATCAGTTTTCACAACCCAAATTAGAATGAGTTCCTGAAGAACTATAGTTCTGGTTTTGGTGGGGAGTTCAGCATTTGGAGATGTTTGTCTTGAATTTTAAATGTTTTGTGGTAGTAGTGTAGTGTGGCCATATTGGTAGTTTTCATTTGGGATTTGGGAAGCACCTTCTGTTTCCTACAGAATGATGTGAAGTCACACAAGTGATTGCTCACAGACATTAACTTTAAAAGCAACCCTGTTTTATCTATGGTTTCTAAAAATATAAACATTTGTTTCATTTATTCCTGCTTCAGTGACTTTGGGAAACTATTTCTGAGGGTGTTTTTTTGTTTTGTTTTGTTTTTTCCATCTCATAAAATGTCAGTGGTTTGAGGAAGGAGCTAGTTAGCAGACAGGTTTTTCTCTCCTTTCCTCCTTTCTGCCACCCCTTCCACCCAAAGTTGCTGATTGATTTAACTGATATATGCTGAAATACTTTGGAAGTTATAAAGCAAATAAACACCATATTTATATTTGAACCTAGCAGTTGCCATAACCCTTCATGTGTACACGTGAATGTGTCTTGTGTCTGACCTCATACTAAACCCTTAGGCCTGTGCTACACCAACTGATAGTCAAGTTTTATTAATAAATTAATTCATTCGTTTTGAGACAGGGTCTCCCTGTAATGCCAGATGACCTGGAACTTTCTAGGTTTCGCTCGATCTCACAAAGATTCGCCTGCCTCTGCCTCTTGAGCACTGGGTTTCAAGGTGTGTGCCACAACATACCACTGACTTTCAGGTTTTAAAAGTAGTCAAGTAGGGCTGGAGAGATGGCTCAGTGGTTAAGAACACTGACTGTTCTTGCAGAAGACCCAGATTCAAATCCCAGCACCCACATGACAGCTAACAATTGTCCATAACTCCAGTTCCAGGGGATCCAACAGTCTCTTCTGTTCTCCACAGTCATTGCGTGACACAGCTGCACATACCAACATGCAGGCAATACACACATACACATAAAATAAAAATAATAAAAAAATAAAAGTAGTCAAGTTAGTGAAAGCTCTTCTGGTGGACTAGGAAGCACCAAGAAGCACAGCAGTTATTTAAAAATGAATATCATATCACAGAAGGGTATACCAAAACCGAAGAAAACCACATGTGCTTTGGTGGTATTTGCCCTTCGTGTTTTACTATCGACATTTTTCTGAGTCCACCTGACTTTGGGTGGCCTTTTATCAGTGCTGTTTCACCTTGCCTGCTCTGCGGTCAGTTTTCTCATTTTCCTTGTAAGCATCCTCTTTTCCACGATCTGTGTTACAGGCCTGTCTCCCTTTGAACCCCAAGCATCGGTTTCACATGAGCACTGAGCAGATGGAGTCCTGGACTCTTATCCATCGTACCCTTCAGAGTTCAGTCCAGAACCTGGGCTGTGTCCGGGTGCATTTACCTGGTGACCTGGCCTGGCACAGTTCTGCTCAAGAAGAAACACAGGGCCAGTGCTACATCAGCCAACTCATGTTCTTCACGGAGAACCCTTACCCGGGGGGCCGATCCCCAGGGCAGGTACAGGAGGAGACCACCACAACTTATAATGGCTATTTCAAATGTTCAGTGATTGGTTTTCTATAGCAAAAAAGGAGATTAGGTTGACATGTTTGCCCATTGTTTAAGTTTCAAAAGAAGGGCTACTTTGAAGTGGGTGAAGATCAGTTTTGGTGCATCCAAGGTGCCTCTAGAAGGCTAGCGACAAGCAGGTAGTAAATGTATTTTCCAAAGACAAGGCCATACAGAGAAAGAGAAGATGTATTAATCCATACCTCAAAAGACACAGTGGGTGAGTCCCAGAGTGGGGTTGCTCAGCAGACAGGAAGGGGAGCTCCTTCTTGGAGGGGGACATACTTGGTCTTATCTCATGGGCCATTTATATGGGGTCCATTTCTGAATAGACAGGTAAGTATCTCACTGTCTTGTTCATTAGTACACTTTCCAATACAAGTTGTCTTTTTTGAGACCGGTCATTTGGGGTAAGGTGCCATGGCCCAATAGGCTCTAGGTGTTTGTATAAGACATCACAAATCACTGAGGTAAGGCACTAAGTAATCACAGTCTGATTGTTAAATGATGGGAATTTCTGGTTTTAGTTTTGGTCTTTTGTCTTTGCAAGTTTCTCCAGAAGTCTCTGGATAAGTGGACCCATCCAGCACTTACCATGGGTCTTTCTAGTCTGTATCAGGGAGCACAGGGCTAGAGCATGTGGTGGAGCAATTATGCTATGAGCAGTTTCCTTGTTTCTAAAACCAAGGCAGAGTTCAATCCGAACAAAGCATAAGAGGCTCCACTGGAACAGTCTTCCTCCACGCTTACCAAGGCATATGTGGGCTGAGCCTGGTTGGGGGTAGGGAAGTCAAGAAGGATCATCCCAGATACTTCACAGCTTTTTGAACTTTAACCTGAGGTTCTGCGTTCAGACACCGTAGGTGCTCCTGTACCACGGATGGTCTGGGTCAGAAAGGGCAAGTAGCATTGTTCCCTTAAGTTCTCTGCATCCTCTGCATCCCAGCTCAACTACTGGGCTTTTGGGGTACCTACTCCATGTTTAACGGATGGAGATCAACATTACTGATGTACATATTATTTTGGTTAAAAAATGCTCATAACACATTTACTTGTTTATTTAGGAAACTAGAAATGGGTAACCAGCATATGAAAATAATTCATTCTAAAAATGATAAAGAAATAGCAAATCAACTTTTATCTTACAAAGTACAGCAGTTGTGGCCATGTAGTGATAGAATCAGGGCTTTACGAAAGCACTTTGTCAGTAAAAACTTGGTCCGGTCATTGCATTTAAAGATAAATTATTTGTTCACAGCAAGATATTTTATTTATTCAAAATAACATTATTTATGATAATTCATATAGAAATGAACCTAACTCTTCAACATAGTGATAGATAGTTCACTAGTCATTTTAATGAATTATAATTTGCCAGTTAAACATAAGACCATAGGGGAGTTTTAGGGGCTTTAGAAGAGTTTTTGCAAAAAGTGCAAAGACTATTGCAGTTTTCCCAGTATGCACCCAGTTCATGGAAAAGTCTAGATAGCATTGCCCCAAATGTGTTTCTCAGAACAACAGATTGTGGGCAAGCCTTCCCAGCTACCTACAATAAACAGATATGTTTGTTTTTTGAGGCAAAGTATCACTATGTAGTCCTGGCTGGTCTTGAACTCACAGAGATCTGCCTGCCTCTGCCTCCCTGGTGCTGGAACTAAAAACATGCGCCACCACTCCCAGCCCAGATATGTCTTTTTGTTATGAGCTCTTACAAATGAAAAATGTATCATTTTAGTATGAGTAACATAAAAGCAGCACTAAATTCCTACTCCAAATGCTGCCACCCTAATGAACGAAACTGTTTCTGGTGGCCCTGACTATCTGGGCTGGAACCGCAGCATCATGCCACTTCCTGCTTTTCTCCTTCAGTCAACTGTTGGCCGCATTTTCTGAGATGACCTTTGTTCCCCAAGGTGGGTGGTGTCCTCAGCCTCATGCTCTACAGCTGTTCCAGCAGAAAGCCTATCCGAAGAGGACGACTGGAGACACCTGTGACCGTGGAGTTTGGGGAGGAAGACCACCCCGTAAGGAGAACTGTGGTGCTGCCTCTGCTTGGTTTAGGCTGGGCCAGATGATTTTTAACGCATTTACTTTTCCAGAGAAAATTTTTGCTTAATTTGTTTTCTTTCCAACGACAGCCCAAGAGAAATACAACCATGTTTACCTTGCTTCGGGATGAGGTGAATCTCCACCGGTTCGTTGGGCTTTCTGAAAACCCCCAGGAATCTCTACAGATATGCATTGAATTCTCCGAGCCTGTCACAAGAGCCTTTCCCATCATGCTGCTAGTAAGGTGCAGGAGGGTGACAACTAGGGTAAAGTAAGGCTCAGCAAGATGGAGCACCCCTACTGAGCTTTGTGAACACACAGGGAATTCAACTATGGGTTTAAAGGAATAATGTGAGAAGAAATTATGTGTGTGTGTGTGTGTGTGTGTGTGTGTGTTTAGATAATTAACTTCCATACTTTTAAAAACTTGGATTGCTGCCCGTTAATTGGAATGAGAAATGCCTGAGTTTTCAGTAATACTGTGTACAACCCCTTTAGACTCTAATTATCCCATAATATAGACTTAAATCAGTTTTCTTCTAGTTTTCCTGCCTTCCTCGCTTCCTCACTTTCTTTTTTTTTAACCAAAGGAAGAAAATAGATTCTATTTTATATATCTAAAGAGTCTCAATAAATTAATTCGTTCTCAAAAATGTTGAGTACACAGAATTAGATGGGCCCCGTTTAGTGACTAAATTATGTAGAAAGGCTGTTAGAGATTCTTTGGAAATTATGTGGAAGATGCTACTGGAAGTTACTAGTCTGGAGTATGTGGCAGGTAGGGGTGGGCCAAGTCTTCTTGGAGAGGCAGGCACTGGGTCTTTTCTGTCTTCTGAGTCGCCATGAGTTTGGGCAGAAAGGCAAGCTGTTCTACTGCACCTGCTAAGTCAGGTGAGTCCCTCAGCCGAGGGGAGACGACTCAGGAGCACATGTGAATGTAACTCTAGTGCTCTACAGAAAGACTATACACAGCCAAATCTCAGTTGGCTTGACTCTGTTGGCGAAGTGAACTGCCAATTCCCTACTCTTCTGACACATTATGCAAAGCATTAGTACAGATAAGTGTATGTGTGTGCTGCTCCTCTGCATGCAGCCAGCTGATTGTTCTGGTCCTACAAATAGTGCTGGTTAGGATTCTTGTCTAATACTGAAGGTTTTTGGGTTTTGGTTTTGTTTTGCTTTTACAGATATAAGGCTGAAAGCATTGTATAGGGTTTTTAAAGAAACTAAATGGTACCAGAGGAAGAAGCACATAGGTTCTTTTCTGCTCCTGTTACCTGTTTCCAGAACAGAGGCTATCTGTGACAAGCACATAACTAAAATATAAAAAGACAAGAAAAGTGCTTCCTCACTGCTTGGTGTTTATCTCCTAGGTTCTCTGAGAAGCCTACACCCTCCGATTTTCTTGTGAAAGAGATCTACTTCTGGGATAAGCAGACGGTACAAATTTACATACCGGCTATTCCAAGGAAAGGTCAGTAGATGGGAAACCTTTGACTTGTCAGTTCTTGTGTGAGGAGGACGCTGCTATAGTCTATACTTGCCCAGCAGTGTTTTCCTTTCTTTGTTGTGTGAACATCCGGGTCCTTTTCTCTGCTGCTTATTACAAACAATTTTTTGATATATACATTTGTAGAAACCACCTTACCAAGGACAATCTTGACACCATGTGGCCGGGGAGGAGCATACTCCTCCCAAGCCCCACCCACCTCTCTGGACCTCAGCTGCTCCTGCTGCTCAGAACCCTAGGACCATCTTCCTGAGCTTTCTTTTCACCTCTGCTGAGCACCTGACCCTACAGCTCTTTTACCCTTGCACCTGTCCACCTTGATTGCACCTCAGTCCTACTGTCCAGCCTCCCTGCTGACTATCAAATGCTATTCCCCCAGGGGAGAGGCATGTCTACATCACAGGAATAAGCAGACAGAACCAGATTCCTCTGGTGTTCCTACTAGAAGCAGAAGACAGGAGCAGGGGCCAGGGACTAGCCCCTTCATGGCAGTTTGACTCTGGTTGCTAAGGCTCTCGAGCTTCAGTGAGTACCCTGAAGAGCAAGACCCCAGTGTTCTAGGTGCTAAAGTGAGCCACATAGGACTTAGGACTCATGTTTAAACTGAGTGTCGGCATGTTGTAGCCCCTGAAGGTGGGCTTCTGACTTTCAGGCGAGTGGATATATCTCATCTCTAAGTTATACTGGGATATACTTATCTTCCTCTGAGACTCCATTGCTCCATTGCTTTTCGTGTTTTTTAAAAATGGCTGAACTCTGTTGATGACCAAATTCAAATTCTCAGTGGCAACTTCACAAAATTCACACTTAGTTTCTTTGCCATAATATTTTATTGTAAGAAATATCAAACTAACAGAAAAGTAGAAATACATCAAATACCTGTACTATGTCATCTGAATTTGCCATTTATTGACATTTTGCTATATTGGCTATATCTTCATGTGTGCACAAGTGTGCACGGAAGGCAATTTTTAAAATATTTTTCTCATTTTTTATATTCATTATCCATGGTACTGAGTTACACAGGGGCATTTTCATACAAGTAGATAATGTACTTTAAGAATATTATCTCCGATACCCTCCCAACTTCCCTTTTCTCTTCCCTCCCACCTCCAATTAATTTCTTTTGCTCCTCTAGACAGTTTTGCTCCTACTTTCATGTCACACACACACACACACACACACATATATATCACATATATATATATATATTATCTATCTCATATATATATATATATATATATATATATGGGTGACTAGAAAAAATCAATCTTTCCTTCTCATCTCAGAATGCAAGCAGCCCAGATGTC